GAGGCCAACCTGGTCTACAGTGCGTGTTCCAGGACAGGCTCCAAAGCTACACAAAGAAACCATGAGAGAGAGAGAGAGAGAGAGAGAGAGAGAGAGAGAGAGAGAGAGAGAGAGAGAGAAGAACGCTGAGTACCAGCATCCATCTTCCTCTGCTTCCTAACTATAGAGTCAATGTGACCAACTGCTTCCTAGTCCAGCTGTCATGCCTTCTGTACCATGACTGGACTGCATTCCCTTGAATTGTAAGCCAAAGGAAATTCTTCCTTCTTTAAATCTCTTTAGTCAGATATTGGGATAGTTAATCTCAATTTGCAACTCGATGAGATCTAAATTCACCCAGAACATGAACCTCTGGGGGTGCCTGAGGGCTTATCTTGATTAGGTTAATTCAGGTGGGAAGACCAACTCACTGTAGGTGGCACCATTCCCGGCCTGGGACCCTAACTGTGTAGAAGGGAGAGACTCAGCCGAGCACCAGCATCCGTCACTCTCTGCACCTTGACTGTAGATGCAATGTCACATTGCATCTTCGCGTTCCTGCTGCGGTGGCTTCCCTGCCACAGCGACTGCGAATCAAATGCTTTCTCCTTTAATTTGCTTTTGTCGGCATATTTTATCACCGCAACAGAAAAGGAAACCGAGATAAATAAACTTAGACAAAAAATGTTTGGTAACAAGAAGTGAGGCCAAGATAAGAACACTAGCTGCTCTTCAGTGAGCCAGGTTCGATTTCCAGCATCAGTATGACAGCTCAAAACCATCTGTAACTCCAGTTCCAGGGGATCTGATGTCCTCTTTGTTAGGATCCTGTACATGCGCAGCTTGGAGTCTTGCGTCTTACATCTTACATCATCAGCGGGCTGGCGACTATGTACCTGACTTAAAAAGCCACAGGCGGACCCCCACCCCTCTTTCTCTGTGTGTTTTCTCTCTGCTCTCTCTCTGTTCCTGCTCTGCTCCCTCCCCCCAGGCCTGGCTCTCTCTCCCTCCTTTCCCTCCTAATAAAGCTCTAAAAATTAACATTGGGTTCCACCGTGGCCTGTGACTTTTCCACCAGTAACCAGCGCCACCAACCAGTGCCGTTTAACGATCACTCTTCTGGCCTCTGTGGACACCAGGCACACATGTGGTGCACAAACATACATGCAGGCAAAATATTCATATGCATAAAAATAAAATAAAATTTTAAAAGGAAGTGAGGTCATAGCTGTGCTAAACATGACCTTGTGTTTCTCAGGCCTTTAAAACTTGTTTGCAGCAAGAATGTGTCAAAGTTCGGAAACTTGAGCCTGAAAAGCCTTAAATACCGGAAGCATTAAGTTCAATGGGTCATTCTGATGGGCACTTAGTAAGAATGCTGTAGAGGCCCCAACTCATGAGGTTTCAGAGAGAAGCAAGGACTCTATAAAGAACAGGGTTTCTGTCCTGCAGAATGGCAAAGCCAGGGTTTCAACCTAGATTCTGTGAGACCCATGGGGCCCACTGAAGGAGGCTGCATCCAGATGCTTCAAGAGGGACTCTGAGCTCTGTAGTTCTGTGAGCCTTTATTCCTAGTGCCCAGAGAGACAGAACCCAGAACAGGGAAAGGCCAAGGCCCAGGACCACCCCTTCTCACCTTTTTTGTTTTTAATTAATTTATTTATTTATTTATTTATTTAGTATACGGTGTGCCTGTGTGTCGAAAGAGGGCACCAGATCTCACTATTGATGGTTGTGAGCCACCATGTGGTTGCTGGGAATTGAACTCAGGACCTCTGGAAGAGCAGCCAGTGCTCTTAACCTCTGAGCCATCTCTCCAGCCCGTTCTATCCCAGTCTAGGCAGAGAGGGCTTCAGGTCTGAGAGTGCAGTCCCTAGGGTGCAGGATCCAGGACCCCAGCCACAGAGAGAACTCGGTGGGGACAGAGGTTAGCAAGGAGCTCTGAAGCCAACTGCAGACATAGGGCCCTGATCCTGCTCAGCTCTGAGCCATAGTGTGATCATCTGTTAAATAACAAAGAGCCAAGCCAGCCTGATGGATTGTATGAATCCCAAGATTTATCTTTCAAAGGCATGCCCTCTTAGTGACCCAGTTCCTCCAACAAAGCCCTAACCCCACAGCTGGATATCTCCTAATAGTCTCTCCAAATTCAAATCCACTAATGCATTAAAACATCGATCAAGTGAGGGTCCTCATGATTTGATCCTCTTAGGAAACCCCCTTGCAAACATACTCAGAGAAGTACTGTATTGATCTCCTAAATGACTTCCCCCAGCCAAGCTGACAGTCAAGATTAACCATCACTGGGGCTGAGGAGATGGCTCCATGGTTAAGAGCACTGGCTGCTCTTGCAGAGGACATGGATTCTGGTCCCAACATTCACAGAGCAGTTCACAACCATCTATGACTCCAGTTCCAGGGGATCTGATGCCCTCTTCTGATGTACACTGCACACACATGATGCACATACATACATGCAGGCTAACCACCCATACATATAAGATAAAAATAAATAAATCTTTGAAAAGGTTAGCCATTACATACTTTAAGAGCCAATTCTTATTCTTTGAAATAAGTTCCTTTCAATGCCCCATCTATGTAAATCTATTTGTATAATAGATAGATGATATTTACCCACCAAGTATCTTGTGGCTGTATCTTGCAGTTCTGTGTCAGGAAGAACCCTGAACAATACATCTTATAACAAGGAAAGAATGCTGTAACTCAAAACTCTTCAGTAAACAAAAGCCTAGGCCAGCTGGCCACAGTGAATTCTTCCCAAGCACTTGAAGCAGAAGCATCAGTGGCTTGTCAAACACGTCATGAAACAGAGAAGGAACCAGTTCTTCAGACTGCAGTGTAGGGTGTAGGGCGGGACTCTGCTCTAATGTGGAGGCTGCTCTGGCTTTCGCCTGCCCCTGCCCTTGACTGGAACTGGCTCTGTGCAGACAGCACTGGCTCCTGAGAGGCCTGCAGGGCTCTAGCTAACTCAGGAACTGGGACTGGAAATGCTTCTGCAGCTCTGGTAGCTGGCTCTCTCTCTAGGGCTGTGAGTGGGTTCTAAATCTAAAGTTGGTGCTGGAGGATGCCGGGGCTCTGAAAGAAGTCTGTGATGAACTAACTGGATCTGGCCACTTCTGATTCTGTCTTTAGAGACCTTGTTGCAGTTGCAGCCTGAGCCAGCACAGCTCCATTGCTGTCGTTGGCTATGGAGCTGGCTTCGGGCGTCAACAGCCAGCCTTGAGCTGTGGCTGGCCCGGGGAATGCTACCGCCTGTACCTGGAGTCACGGTGCTTGGAGCTGGCTCTGGACTGGCTGGACCTCTGCTGGTGAGGCTCTAGCAGCTGCTTCTTCTGTTTCTGTCATCTGGAGATGGCTCCAGACCTGTTGGCAGCTCAGGACCACCGCAGGAGCCTCTTCTGGCATGGGGTCTAGCTCAATCACAAATACTGGAACAAATGAGGTGGTGGGCACTAGATCTTCTTGGCCTCAGGGCAGGAGCGGATCAAAAAAGAACGTCACCTCTGTTGTTCCTTCCAGACCTGTTGGCAAAAACAGTTCGCACTGATGGACCTGGTCAATGCTCAACAGGTCAGGTGAGGATCCTTCTTCCTCTGCTGCCCAGACAGACCTCCAAAGCCCCTTCCTAGGCCCACCATTGCAATCATGTAACTAGGGATTTTTTTTTTTATTATTCCTGATGTCTCAATTCCCCTCTGGAAAGTGGAGATGAGCCCCATACTCACACCTACTGTAAAGATTCAAGGATTTGGACCATGAATGATAGTACACGCCTCTAATCCTAGCACTTGGAAGGTAGAGGCAAAAGGATCAAAAATCAGAAATGCAAGTATCTTCAACCATATAGCAAGTTTAAAGGTCGTCTGGGCTATATGAGATACTGCATCAAAAACCAGAAAGGAGGCAGGCAGTGGTGGTGCGTGCCTTTGATCCCAGCATTTGGGAGGCAGAAGCAGGTGGCCAGTTCCAGGACAGCCAGGGCTACACAGAGTAACTCTGCCTCAAAAAAACAAACAAAACAGGAAGGAAGCCAGATGGTGGTGGTGCATGCCTTTAATCCCGGCACCCAGTGGGCAGAGGCAAGTGGATCTTTGTGAGATCGAGGCCAGCCTGGTCTACAGTGCAAGTTCCAGGACAACCAGGGCTACACTGAGAAACCCTGTCTGGGGGGAGGGGGGAGATAGGAAGGAAAAGAAGGAGGGAGGGAGGCAGACAGACAGGCAGGCAAGAAGTAATGGAGGAAGGCAGGAAAAGGAAGGAAGGATTCAACTATTTGGGACCATCAGCAAGTGTGGCTGGCCTGGCCCATGGGTAGCAGAACAGTGTTCACTGATGTGTCTCCAGGCCTACAGTTCACCCCCATCACCCGGAAGTCCTCATCAGTTTCAGGACTCGTTAGATGTGTGGTGTGTACTTGTGCAGGACACAACACACATCCCAGCAGTTAGCTAGTCTTCTGAGTGTATTATGTGTCTTTGAGCACCATCCTGAAGTAGAGGACATTCAACCTTCAAGAAGCTGCCTCAGATCCACACACAGCCCCCTAGGTGGGGCTAGTTAGAAGCATCTGGGACTTGTGACCTCCTTGCAGCTCCTTCCTGATCCATCCCCAAAGCTTCCTTGTAAAAGAGGAATCAGTGTCACCTCCTTGGCCCCTGAATACTGGTCAGTCAGAACTGGCCTTTCCTCTTTGCGTGGAAGCCTTGGCATAATCAAAAACCTGGGAAGCAGGGTTTCCCCCACAAAAAAAAACAGGGAGCTTCCCGAGAAGGCGCAGGACTCGACTCCATGGGTGGTTTGAAAAAGTCCTGCGAGCTTGGCAATACGCAAAGAAGTCGCTGAGATCCACTTGGGGAGGCAAGACCAAGAGCCTCTGAGCGACTGGGGCTACGAGGAGCGCGGGCGAGGAGCGGAAGATCCACTAGAGGGCACTGCAGCCGGAGGACAGGGGAAGTCCCTCGCGGGCTGCCGTAGGCGTTACTATAAAAGACGTGGTGCGGCCCTGTTCAGCCTCTCGGCGGCCATGGCGGCGTACGGGTTGCTAGCGTCGTCCCTCCCGTGGTTGACCTGGGACACCGCAGACGACCCTCCATAGCTCTCGGCCTGCTGGCGGGAAGACTGCGTCTCGTACTGCCGATCGTAAAAAAAAAAAGTGTCGCGTTCTTTTCCCTCCGAGGGCTCCGTCGCCCTGATGTGTGCAGCAGACCAACCTTGTGGTAAGAGGAAGGGCCGTTCACGGTGTGCCCGAGGGCCGGGTGGAGGAAAACCGAGGCTCGGCGGCTGGGTCAGTGGAATGCAGGGAGCTTCCTAGGCATCCCTCTGGTCATCCCTGATTGGGGCTCGACCGGCTCTCCTTCCTAGGACTAAGGAACACCAGGGGAAGTGCCTGTCCACATTTGCTGCTTGCTGGTGAGGTTTGTCTTGGAAGGACAGCTATTCAAAACCCTTCTGAAGAGCCAGCTTGAGATAACGCAGACCCTGTCTGTTTAGTGCAATGCCACTGAATTAGGAAGCCGGGAGAGTTACGTTGTTTTGTTACTTCACTTACAGAAAGCCTTAGCAAGGAGACCAAACCATTGTGGACCCATTGGAATAGGAATAAAATACAGGCCTGATGAAATCCCCCACTGTGATCTTGCCAAGAACGTGTGCAGAATGGTCGTTTTTCTTCTCTAGGGAGTTTGTCGACTGGGAATTAAGAAGCTGTGAGGACATGTTGGGGTCTTCGGTAAGTTGACCCAGAGTTACTAAGGTTCCCGTTAACGGCCATGGCCCCGGCACTGGGCTCGTCCTGCCCCTAGAGGCGTTGCACGTGTGGCTGCCGTGTTGCATGTGCGTCAGTAGGTGGCGGAGAGGAGAGAGGCTATGTCTACGCTCAGTGTTCTGACCTGTGAACATCTGAATGATTAGTAGCCTGACACTCCCTGAAGCTGGAGGTGGGGCCGCCCTTCCCGGGTGTTAACTGGTTTAGGAAACCCAGTATGGGGCCGGTAAACTCCAGTGGGTGGAAACAGCGGTGGCGTCAGAGCTATCCTCTGAGATGAGTGGGGTTAAACTAGCAGGGCTGGATTGCAGCTCCGTGGTAAAGTACTCACTTGAGGGGCAGGCCTGGGTCTCCGTCCCTGACACCACCACCAAGTGGAACCGACAATGGGAAGAGTAGTCCCTGTTAATGGGCCCGTGCTGCACAGGTCGGGGGGAGAAGCTAATGGTGGCAGTGATGGCCACCCCCTCATGTGAGGTTACCTGTGGTTGGCAAAAATATCCATGAGGTCAACTGAGGTAAGGTCTTAGGTTGTCCCACCCTAGGCATAAACCCCCCCCCCTTTGCCCAGTCTCCCCATGGTGCCCTTCCCTGATCGTCACATTAGTCGGAAAAACTTAAAGGCACACGTTGCTCTAGCCCTAGTTTACTAGAGTGAAGCTGGCACTGTGGAGATGCATCAAAGCACAAAAAAAAGGCCTCCTGGGGCTCTAGAGTGCGGCGCCTGGATGGGGGGAGCTGTGCTGACTCTTTTTCTTTGCAGGAAAGCTGGTGACAAAGCTCTGCTCGTGGTGTGGACTTTGCCCGATGCCCAGCAGTGGCCCACGGAGGTGAGAGGTGGGCTGGGTCCGCTGGAGTGTGCTCGGGTGGCATGTGTGCAGCTGCCCTGGGTGTGCTGCACTAGATCTGTCGGCACTACAGGCATAGCACAGCTTCTCAGCTGTGTCTGTGACATCGGGGCAGAGAGCAAGTGGCTATTTCTACGCTCAGTGTTCAGAAGCCAGTGAGCACTAAGAATGGTTTATAGCCTGACATTTTGCAGAGCCATAGTGAGGTGGTACTGGGATGTGGCTTTGTTGATGGCCGGGCCCCAATGTCAGAGACCTCAAGGGCTCACCAGAAGGTTGCATGGTCAGCATTTTAGCCAGATAGAACTTTGGAGTTGGGAGTGGCCGCAAACTGGGTTTGTGGGGAGGGCATTCACAGGGGTCAGGAAATACAAGAAACTGTTCATCCTTTCTCATTTTTCAGATCCAGGAGCCAGGAAGAATAAGGCCTACCTTTTGGTCACGTGACTGATCAGGACAGGTGCAGATGTGATTATAGGCCATGAGCTCCAAATGTGGCCTCTAACTTCACCAGGGACCTGCAGAACCACCCATACAGGCTTTGGGCAGCTCCACGCTTCTATCCTGGCAGCCCACATCCTAAATTACGGACCACATTTGTGTTGGCTTGAACTGTTCCTTCAGGACTGAAGTGAGATCTGTGTAGTAGCACTAGAGGTGGAGGGCCCTCTTAAGATCCAGCATTTCCATCTGACTAACTGCACGTGGCCTTAGAAGTGCTAATTATGGAGGGGGCAGCTAGCTGTAGGTGCTTGTGACACAAATAAACTTGTCAGTTCTTGAAGCTTGTAATCTTGACTACCAACATTCTCCCATCTTAGGGTAAAGAGTCGATTGAGTTTCCCTTCATCTCCCCTGGAAAATAAAACCTGCCGGAGTGAATGATAGGCGAGGATTTGGGCTGGAACTGTGGCTGTCTTATGCCAAAAGCATTAACAGGAGCAAAGTTTACTGGTATACTGTGTGCTATGGGAGTAGAGCACAAAGATACCGTGTTCTGCCTGTTCACTGTTGGACAGCTGAACTGTGGATGTGCTGGTTAGCTGAAGGTGTCAGAAGCCTAGAGAGAAGCTGCCATGGTGTGCCACCGGCATTCTGGTTTGGGGCTGTTGCTCAGTGGTTGACTGGAGTGCTGGTGGTGAAATGCCAGTGCACCAGAGTTGGCAGGCCTGATCCTTGCAAAAGGTGCATTCAGGCCCATCACATGCTGCATGTCCCCCATTGGTGCCCAGACAAGCTCTGTAGGGTAGAGCCTTGCCTAAAGGCTGCTTCGTATTTAGCAAGGGATCCAAGTGTTGCATAAAAGCCATTTATTTACATGTACAGAAGAATGACCCCTTGGCTCAGTTGTTGGGAAAGTGGGGTGGAGGAGACTTACTGGAGAGGGGTGACCTTTCCCAAGTGGGTGCTCCACCCACAGCTGAGCTATAATGGCTGGAGCCTGCAGCATTAAGAGTAGTTGGTGTTGGAGATCTCCCTCCAGAGCAAGGTCTTGAGGTGGCTAAGTACCAGGGAATGGTGGGCTTCCACCTGGCTGGCCAGTCCACTCAGTGTCGTGCATGTGCGCAGCTGTTTGCCCAGCTCCTCACGGAGGTCTGCAGGAGCACCAGGCAGCAGATAATCCCTCAGCAGTTCACATACCTTGGCCAGGTTGGGCTGGATGAGGTCGCCCTTGCACTGCCTCATGAGCCTGTCACACGGAGCCCTGCAATCTCGCCCATAGATGCAGTCAGAACTCTGCTCACAGTGGCGGCCCTGAAGGAAGCGGCGCACAGTAGCCTCGGGCGCCACCTGCTGCAGGTCAGCCATCTTGAAGTCATAGGTGGCCGTGTATCCCACATTGGCCAGTGTGGTCTCACACATGTAAAAGGTACCATAGGAACCATGGAAGAGCTCCTCCACAAACTCCAGCAGGCCAATGGCGATCTTGGCACGCCAGGGCCAGGCGGGTCCAAACCACTGCTGGAGAGCCCTGTGCAGCACAGAGGGCAGGAGCGGGCGCAAGGCAGGCAGCAGCACTGCCCCGTGCCAGGAGCCGTGGGGGACGCCCTCGGTGAGGTAGAGGTCCCCGCAGTAGCCCAGCAGCCGGGAAGCGTGCTCCTTCTCCTGAAGGGACAGCAGCAGCAGGAACTCGTTGCGCTGCAGCAGGGCCCAGACAGACTTGGCCTCTGCCAGGGACACCCTGCTGTCCTTGTTGAAGTCCGCCATGAGAAGGATCTGGTCAACCAGCGTTGGCAGGGAGGGCAGGTCTCCTAGGTTCGCCTGACATTTGGGACCAAAAGGAAGGCAGAGAAGCACGCCCTGGTGCACACCTCTCGGCTGGCAGAGCACTGACTGGGTCTGGCCTGGTCTCTAGACATTAGAATATCAGCAAGGCCCGCTGCCCGCACCACACACTCAGGCCCTCTGCCTGTGTCACAGAGGGGTGAGAGCAGAGGCCACAGCACCGTAAGCCTTTGAAGACTAATCACGTGGCCCTTGAGCCCTGTATCTAACTCCCACCAGCCCCTACTTTTACCATACCGGATGCAGAGTCCTCAATCTCCTGAGCCCTCACCACACCTCAGACTCTGCCCGTCTATCTGTTCCCACAAGCCCTGAAAGATGCTTCCCTGCCTGCCTCCTACCCAGGTCTTTGTAGACATCCCAGCTGTGGGCTGCAGTGAAGATCTGAGCACCCCTAGTAGAGCAGACTAACCTTGAGGAAGCCGAGGATCATCTCTTGGAACTCCTTGATGGAGGTGCCCCGGGTGGGCTTCTCAAACAGCACCAGCTCCCGCCGCAGAACTGCATCTGGCCAGGCCTTGGAGTTCAGGGCCTCCTCGATGCCACATTTGATGGTCACCTCCTTGTTCTGCCAGAGCCCACTGTACACCTAGAAAAGGCCAGAGGTTTGTCTCCTATAGATGTCCAGCTTGCCACCAGCAGCAGCCCACACCCAGCCTGCCAACCATGCCCAGCTGCACACCTGCTGGCCTGGCGATGAAGACAGGCAGGTCCTCCACTCCACTTTCTGCAGCTCACACAGGTCCTGGCAGACAGAGCCGGAGATGATGCCCTTGCGGTACTGGTCACACTGAGGAGATAGGCACCAGGGTATGGCCCAGGGCATGGGGCTTGGTGGTCACAGCCCTACCCACTACCTATGGATCCACAGCCCAGCCAAACACCCCAGGACAGAAGGAAAAGCCACCAGCAGCATGGGCACAGGGAGCCTGTCCCCAGGAGCAACCCTCTGTTCCCTCCTTGACTCCTGAGAGAAGGATATCACAAGTCTGCTGCCAGACACTGTAACTAGAATACGCACAGTGGCTAGGACCACAGGCAAGTCCCCATAACAGGCCTCCGCTGCATCCCCAGCAGGGCCCTCAGCAGCAAAGCTGTGGTCAGATAGGTAACCTGGACTGCGGTGAGATGACAGCCACAAGTCCCAAGACTGGGGCCTGGTCATGGTTGATAACTAAGCCTCAGGTGTCACCCAGTGAGCAGCACCCTTTGGGCACCTGGGCCACCCCTTCATCTCCCTTATGGTGAGGCTGGAAACTTCCCAGGCAGCTCAGCACTCCTCTGAGCAGGTGTCCACATTCCCCATCCAGCATTTTTCCCTCCACTGTGATCTCTTCTGGTTTAGCCTGCCCGGCAGACTGAAGCAGGAGCAGCCCAATGGTAGGCCCCTCCTTTGATCCTCAGGATCCAGCTGGACTCCCAGCCACCAACCCATAAGAGGTGCTGCCAAGGGGTCCCATCTGTGAACAAGACCTAACACCTCAAATGCTCCAGTACTTCAGTTACTGGTCACTGTCAGGGTTATTTGTCACCATCCCTAAAGAAATGGCGTCCTGGGGCCCCACAATCGCTAAGGACCTTACTTCCTGCCAGGCTTGCCCCAGGCCACCCCATTAGCTGGAGAGCCTCTCAGCACAGATTAAATCTGCACTACCCAGGCCTAGTCTGGGGTAAAGGGCTTGCTGGCTCTCACTTGGGTAAATTCCTGGATATACATCACTGGTTGCCATGGAGCCTGGCACTGGTCAGAGCCAAGCTTGGAGGAAATGGGGGAAGGGAGGTGCCCAACACCCCACCATCCAAGAAGCTGAGCCAATCTGAAGCACTGACTAAGCCATGTGAGCCACAAAGACAGAGTGTCCTCTGGCCACATAAAAGGCTCATCAGCTAGAGGTGGAACGGTGAAGCTATGCCTGTCCATCCCAACACCCTCTGGGCAAGCCCTTCACCCAGGACTCTATGCTGATACCCCATCGACACCAGTCACAGGACTTGGGGGGGGGGGGTTGCAGGAGCAGAGGCCTTGCTGCCCTTGACTCACAGCTGATGGAGAGGAGCAGGAGCCTATGGGCCCTGCTCAGCTTTCCAAGGTGGCAGAAGGAACAGCAGATTTCGAGAGGAAGTTCCACAGAAACCAAGGTAGGATCAGCAAGATGGATCAGCAGGTAAAGGAGCTTGCCACCAAGTCTCATGGCCTGAGTTCAAACCCCAGAATCCAAGTAAGGGTGGAAGGAGAGAACACTAACTACCACAAATTGTCCTCTGACCTCCACAGGGGCCATGGCACATGTGTGTGCACATACATACATACACACACGTATATACAAATAAATGAATGTACTTTTTTTTTTAAGAAAAAAATTAAAAATGAAAAGAAACTAAGATGGGCACAGCATGTTTAGCCATCCTCAGGACTCCGGCTGCCCCTGGGTCTCCAAGCCTCAGTTTCTTCATCTGCAGAGTGGGCCAGGGTAGGGATCCACTGAGTAGCTCCCTCCACGCTGAGAGTCTGGCTAGCACCTGAGACTATATGACCAGGAGGTAGAAAAGGATCTCCTCTGGAAAAGAGGCAATGTCCCCTGTCTGGGGACAATATGTCCCTGTCACCAGTCACAAGGACCGGAGAACCGAGATACCAGCTTCAGGAGGTGCATGGGCACACTCACACAGGCACTGACATGCAAGCGTGCACTCCCACACATGCACTCACTCAACATCAGTAATGTTGACATCCTCACTCAACAGCAGCAATGGCTCCCTGGAGAGGAAGGCATAAAAGACTCCACCCCGTGGCCTGCTTTCAGGACTGGCCAGGGCAGTCCTCTCCAGGCTATTCCTGTGTCCCTGCTAAACAGTCCATGTTTCAACATTTAAGTCCACCCCGAGTTCATGCAGCAGCTACAACTTCCCCACTTCCTTCCTGACCTCCAGCCCTCTACCCCCGCCCCATCCAAGCCCACCTCCCACCAAATGGGTCAGGTCCCCGGGCCCAGGCAGACTTACGATCACCACCTGGCAGACGTGCCCACGGCAGAGCTCCGAATAGGACGAGTAGTGCACATAGACCATCCAGCTGCCCACGAAGATGCCCAGCCAGACCAGCAAGACATACTTGACCCTGAGGCCTGGGAGCCGGCCCTGCTGAGGGAGGGACCAGGTAAGGAGGGGCCTATCTATGGCCCTGCTGTGCCCATAACCCAGGGCAGCTTCTACCTCTTTAGATCTTCCACAGCCAACCCAGCTGGCACCCATCACCTCCAGCACTGAGAAGCACCTAGCTCAGTACCCCACCATTATCGGGCATATGCCAGAGTCTGCAGCCAGGGGCTCTCCATCAGAGACAAGTAGACATTTCAAAATGAGAAGATAAAGCTGAATGAAGATACTTTTTACAGCCTGTTCCCTTAAAATGCTCTCATTTCCAAATATTCCTGCCTCCAAATAAGGTCAGCTGAGCCATCAGCCTGGAGCTAGTTAGTTCAGCCACCCCAGGAATGTGGCCCTCATTTTTCCCACTGATCCCCTTGAGTCAAGGCCAGCAGGAAAAGGGGTATGGAGGGCAAGGCGCCCACAGCCCAATTCTACTACACCCTGAGAAGCAGTGAGAAGACATGGGGTCATGCATGCACATCCACAGTAGCAGTAACAACAGCAAGAGTGGACAGCCAGTATCCATCCACAAGATAAAAACACCACTCAGCCTCAGCAGGAAGTAAGCCTGGTACCTGCCACCACCAGGATGGATGTCACAGAAGGACACCTTCTGTGGGACTCCAACCCAAGAGTCCTCCAGAGTCCTCAAATGCACAGAGGTAAAAAGTGTCGGGCAGGGTAGGCTGTGGGAACACAGAGTCAGGATGGGAAGGTGAGCTTTCTGTGGATGGACCACGTCCGTGGCTCCACAGCACCAAATGTACAAGCAGAGAAGGGCAGGATTATTTCATGCTGTGGGTTTTGTTTTTGTTGGTTTGTTTTGGGGTTTTGTTATTGTTGTTGCTGTTGTTTTGAGACAGGGTTTCTCTGGCTGTCCTGGAACTCGCTTTGGAGAGCAGGATGGCCTCGAACTCACAGAGATCTGCCTGCCTCTGCTTCCTGAGTGCTGGGATTAAAGGTGTGTGTCACCACTGCCTGCCATGCTGTGTATTTTGCCTCAGTTTCTTTTAGAAAGCTGTGTGTGTGGTGGACACATTTCTGTAATCCTAGCATTGGCACTGTTAAAGAAGAGACCAGCTCGGTTCCTAGCACCCACTCAAACCGTCTTCAACGCCACAGGACTCAGCACCTCCTTCTGACCTCCTGTGGCACCAGGCATACACATGAAGCACATATATATATATATATATATATATATATATATATATATATATATACATACATGCGGGCAAAACATTCATAGACACTGGGAGGTGGTGGCACACGCCTTCAATCCCAGCACTTGGGAGGCAGAGGCAGGCCGATCTCTGTGAGTTCAAGGCCAGCCTGGTCTACAGAGTGAGATCCAGGACAGGCACCAAAGCTACACAGAGAAACCCTGTCTTGAAAAAGAAAAAACAAAAACAAAAAAGGGATAGAAACCAGAGGGGGTGGGGGTGGGGCAGGCAGTCCTGGCCCCAAAACCCTGATGAAGATGGACCTAAGACCTTCACTTCTGCAGAGGTTCCAGGTCACCCTGTCTTCCTCACCCCTGCACCCTGTTTCCCAGCTGACAGGTGAGCACTAAAGGGTGAGAAGAGGTCTGATCTAGGTGCTGAGGACACGGGTTCCCACTGAGTACTCCAAGCAGTGTCCAAAGTTGACAGCCAGAGACAGCTGGATGCCACCTCCCTCCCCGGGAAAATGGCAGTCTCTAGGGGAAGGAACTGGGAGTTTCCAGACAGCCTGTGCCACATAGGGCCAAATGTCCCAATCTGAAGCAAAAGGCAAGGGATCAGTCG